TTATATTATAATTAATTATTGCTTGCAAATTAGCAATATTTAAATGTCACAAACTTTCAAAGCTAATCTTTAAGTAAAATTAATAATAATAATCATGAAAATCGACATTTCAATTTTCAAAAAAAATTACATTTTCTTCTTATTGGTAAAGGTACTATAGTAACAAAAAACTAGTACAACTTAAGAAGTAAACTTTGTTTCGTCAAGGAAACAATTCTAGTATGTCAGTGAATATTGTTTGAATGCGTTTACATAAATTTGATCGGTTGTGTTTGTTTTGCAGCCGGAGAATTTGCTGCTGGCCAGCAAGGCTAAAGGAGCCGCCGTCAAGTTGGCGGATTTCGGTTTGGCCATCGAGGTGCAAGGGGAGCAGCAGGCTTGGTTCGGATTCGCCGGTACTCCTGGTTACCTCTCTCCGGAGGTCCTCAAGAAGGAACCTTATGGAAAACCGGTGGACATCTGGGCTTGCGGCGTCATCCTCTACATTCTTCTGGTCGGTTACCCACCGTTCTGGGATGAGGATCAGCACCGTCTCTACGCACAGATCAAGGCCGGAGCATACGATGTAAGTCAACAATTAACATAGATTGTCTCAAAATTACCTAACATTACTATACTTCAGTAACTTTGAAATTTAAAAATGACATATGTCAAATCTGACAGATTGATTGTTTTGATACTTATCTGCTTTATTACACTATTTTATTAAATTATTAAAGAGTATTATATAATCAAAATTGATCAACATTGCAATACATAAATTTTAAAATTACACTAAATAAATATAAACAAAGTTAGAAATTAGATTGTCTATCCTAATTAACTAATTAATTAATGAAACCAATGCGTATTCTACTGCGCATATCGTCATACTACGAGTTGTCAATTCGAAATTGTTGGTTTTGAATACTTCCCACAAAACAGTTATGTTCTATGGGAATAGAACATATGAGTGACATAACTATAACTTGTTTATTTGTGTGGATAGTGTATTGGTACAACTGATTGTCATTTATATCTTCTATGGTGTACAGTTTCGTTAATGAAACAAAATGATCATCACTCAAATCAATCAATTAAATGATGATGAATTGTTGATGATCTGTACTATTCTGATTTTAGAGCGCATTTCGTCATACTAAAAGTTGTCAATTCGAAATTATTGGTTTTGAATACTTTCCACAAAACAGCTATGATCTATGGGAATAGAACATATGAGTGACATAACAATAACTTGTTTATTGACGTTACGTGAATATTAAGTTGGTACAACTGACTGTCACACATAAGCATCACTCAAATCAATAATTTTAAACTTGAATTGGTGATGATCTGTGCTATTCGGAGTTTAGTGCGCATTTCGTCATACTAAAAGTTGTCAATTCTAAATTGTTGGTTTTGAATACTTTCCACAAAACAGCTATGTTCTATGGGAATAGAACATATCAGTGACATAACTATAACTTGTTTATTGACGTTACGTGAATATTAAGTTGGTACAACTGACTGTCATTCATAATCATCACTCAAATCAATAATTTTAAACATGAATTGGTGATGATATGTGCTATTCGGAGGCTAGTGCGCATTTCGTCACACTAAAAGTTGTCAATTCGAAATTGTTGGTTTTTAATACTTTCCACAAAACAGCAATGTTCTATGGGAATAGAACATATGAGTGACATAACAATAACTTGTTTATTGACATTACGTGAATATTAAATTGGTACAACTGACTATCACATAAGCATCACTTAAATCAATAATTTTAAACTTGAATTGGTGATGATCTGTGCTATTCGGTGTCTAGTGCGCATTTCATAATACTAAGAGTTGTCAATTCGAAATTGTTGGTTTTTAATACTTCCCACAAAACAGCTCATAGAACATATGAGTGACATAACAATAACTTGTTTATTGACGTTACGTGAATATTAAGTTGGTACAACTGACTGTCACTCATATGCATCACNNNNAGTTGTCAATTCGTAATTGTTGGTTTTGAATACTTTCCACAAAACAGCTATGTTCTATGGGAATAGAACATATGAGTGACATAATAATAACTTGTTTATTGATGTTACGTGAATATTAAGTTGGTACAACTGACTGTCACTCATATGCATCACTTAAATCAATAATTTTAAACTTGAATTGGTGATAATCCGTGCTATTCGGAGTCTAGTGCGTATTTCGTCATACTAAGAGTTGTCAATTCGAAATTGTTGGTTTTTGAATACTTTCCACAAAACAGCTATGTTCTATGGGAATAGAACATATGAGTGACATAACTATAACTTGTTTATTGACGTTACGTGAATATTAAGTTGGTACAACTGACTGTCACTCATAAGCATCCACTCAAATCAATAATTTTAAACTTGAATTGGTGATAATCCGTGCTATTAGTCAATTCTAAATTGTTGGTTTTTAATACTTCCCACAAAACAGCTCATAGAACATATGAGTAACATAACAATAACTTGTTTATTGACGTTACGTAAATATTAAGTTGGTACAACTGACTTTCATCCACTCAAATCGATAATTTTAAACTTGAATTGGTGATGATCTTATAACTTCAAACTTATAACTTTAATGAAATTCAATTGTGTGCGTGTGTTTTCTGCAGTATCCGAGCCCCGAATGGGACACCGTCACTCCAGAGGCTAAGAACCTCATCAACCAGATGTTGACCGTGAATCCCGGTAAGAGGATTACCGCTGCGGAAGCGCTTAAACATCCATGGATTTGCGTAAGTTCTTAGCAAAAACATCTTTCTCAACAACGATATTAATTATTTTTTTCTTTGTTTCTGCAAATTTCAGCAACGCGAACGTGTGGCGTCCGTCGTACACAGACAGGAGACAGTCGACTGCCTCAAGAAGTTCAATGCTAGACGCAAGCTCAAGGTAACAACATCAACAATTCCAAATTTATCAAATTTTGTAACTGTAAAATTTGATCGCAGGGTGCAATCCTTACCACGATGTTGGCTACGAGGAACTTCTCCAGTGAGTATAAGCCCTTGATTGAATTGAACTGTGAATTAAAAACTAAAAGCGTAAACTAAGCCCGACAAAACCCCGTCAAATTAATCAGTAATTTATTAGACGTCCGAAACTGTTNNNNAAATAAAGTTAGTAATCCAGCATTTAACTGCTCGCAATTATCTTTTGTTTCTTGTGTAAATAAAACGAAAATAATTGCTATCTACCCCTTTTCGTCTCTTCTATCTCTTTCTCTGTCTCTTTCTGTCTCTCTATATATTTGTATACAAATATCTCTCTCTTTATCTCTCTCGATTTTAACGCAAATTAAGTACAAAAACCCCAGCCCCTATTTCGTTGTTCTTTTGTTTATTACTACCCCGATTGCGTTTTTGTTCCTCTTCTTATTGTAATTTACGTAATATATTTTTTGTATACTATAAATTTTGTTGAGTACGAGAAAAAAAAGAAAGCAAACTAATTTCAGTTCAATGTCTGTTCACGTAACACGTGTAAACACACTCGACCCAACATTTTATACACTCACAGAAAACACGCTTAAGTGATACACGAAAACACTTTATCCCCAAAAAACGAATCATTCAATTCGCCCTCAAACAAACCGATCTCATTTCTCTCATTATCTCCCCTTCTTCTTTTTTTTTTAAATGAAAAATCAAATTTTAATTACTAAATTTAATTAAGTTTTTTTTTCTTGCGCGTCTTTCACACACAACCCTCGTTCCACAATTAAATCGCAAATCCCTTTTTAATGAAATATTATAATTACGCAATTCAATTAAGGGAAGAAAAAAAACGAACATTTGACTTAACGAGAAATCGATTTCGCTCTAAAAACGTCTTCAGTTTATTTAGATTTTCATCAATATGGAATCTTTATTTATGTTTAGAATTTCTCTTCAAATATTCAAGAAGTTTGTCTTGATTTTTCAATCAGCGTTTTTCAATCTTTTTTATATCGTAAACCAACAACCCAATTGTTTATAATATATATATATATTGTTTGACTGGTTGACAGATGTCATTTCTCTGTGGGTTACATAATGACAGCTGTCACTTTGTTAATATCATTGCTGTGAAAATGTTGGATGGTTTTTTTACATTTTGACAACGGTGATTGGGTTTTCGGTGGAAACGCGTCGAAAAGCGGAAACGCGTGTCGCCGAAATACGTCGATGCATCTCGCTGGAAATTAGCATTTTGATGGGTCAGTCGATACCGGGGATGGCCGAAAATTGACGTGCACGTTTCGAATTTATGTCAGAACGGAATAGATTTTTTATTGTTGTTGTTCTATAAAAGTATCGTGTTCAACTTGATCGAATTTGCGTTTTTTTTTATAATTTAGATATAATAATTAGAAATTAGGATTAATTCAGTTATAATGAAAAATCCACGAGAAATATTTAGACAAAAATAAAAAGTTGACTTTGATTTATGCAATTGTCTTCAACTTATCACAAAAAACAAACAAGCAAAATAATAATAATTGAGAGTGTCAAGTTTTCCAAAATTGATCGTGATTTGTTTCTGAAAGAGAGTGTAAGTTTAAGAAAATAATGTATAGATTAATTCATCAAACGCAACATAAGAATTCGAATGAGCAGCCAAAATTTACTGTTTCAATTGTTAAAAAAAAACAAATTTAGGAAATTCAATTAAAAATTATAAAGTTATTATGTTTTTCAAGCAAGAACTAAGAATTTTATTTCCTCAAATATCTTAGTTATTTGCAATTGAAATGTTTCTCGTTAATAAGATTTATGA